AGATATGATATTATATTATATCATATCATATCATATTATATCATATTATATTATATCATATTATATCATATCATATTATATCATATTATATTATATTATATTATGTAATACATTTTTTGATATTAATATTGAATTATATTACTTATATTATATATATATTATATTATATTATATTATATTATATTATGTAATATATTTTTCGATATTAATATTGAATTATATTATATTTATATTATATTATATTATGTAATATATTTTTCGATATTAATATTGAATTATATTACTTATATTATATATATATGTATTTTTATTTGCCAAAAATACGGCTATTTTTCCGCTTTTTTCTCGGGAAGTTATTTAGTGGATTTGCCGATTCGGTCGAGGACAGGTTACCATATCCCATGACGGATCTATGGTGCTGGTATATGCTAACATGACTGGGGTAGATTAATGGGATCTATGTTACCATATATGGCAACACCATGGATCCTATGGGTATATACATATCATTGCATAATCATACCACATTCATATACTTCCTTATTATATATTTATTAATATGTTTTTTTATCGTAAGAAAAACCAAACCCTCGTCGATATATTTTAATATTCTTGGTATATAATATGTTTATTCCTAATATTTTAATAATATTTAAAATATAATATATATATTTATTATTCGCAATTTGGGGTATAGATCCGTTAGGTTTAGATTTATTACCTTTTAAATCTTAAAAAATTCTAAAAATTCATGTCTGATTGTGGTATTACTAAGAGGTAATAAAGAAGCAAAAGAAATTACGGGTATACATTATTATTTTTTATTAAAATAATACGATATTTTCGGGATAAATTATTGATGGAAATAATAACAACCAATTTATAACAAATAATTTTTATTAATTAAAATTAAAAATTAAAGATAATTAATGGTTTTAAACATAACAACAAACATAATTTTATCTTAATTAATATTAACCTTAAATTTATATAATAATAATTAAGAATAATATTAATGCTAAATAATAATAATTTATATATATATATATA